GGTGACAGTGCATGTTTTAGAGGGGAGAGAAAGATGCCAGTAAAGAGGGAAAGATTGAAAATGTGAGTAAGAGTGTGTAGGATAGAGCAAGAGGGTGACTGAAGTAGTGGTGAGGGAACAGGGTTCAGGGGGCAAGTAGTGAGGAGGGTGCCAGAGAAAAGTTTTGTAACCTCCTCCATGGTGACAGGGTCAAAAGAGGAAAGTAACAAGTGTGATGGTGGGCCTGGAACATTAATAGAGAAAGTTGATTGGACAGTGGAGATCTCATCCCGAATTGCATCTATTTTGTTTTTTAATTGAATGGCAATGTCCTGGGCAGTGAGTGAATTAGTGGATGGTGGCGGTGGGGGACATAGTAGAGAGTTAAAAGTAGGAAAGAGTTGACGTGGTCTTGATGAGAGTGTGTTAATGAGAGTGACAAAATATGTCTGTTTGGCAGCACAGAGGAAGGAATTATGTTTTAGGAGGGCAGCTTTATACATTGTGAAGTCTTGCAAAGACCTAGTTTTGCGCCACATTCGCTCAATTCGCTGTGGCAATGTCTTTTAAGATTTCTGCTTTCTTCTGTTTGCCACGGTTGTAGTGGATGCGGCCAGGGCTGCGTTTGGGTCTCACCTGGGATGCGTGTAGGTCTCAGCAGGGATAGATGCAGGTCTCACCAGGGATGCATGCAAGTCTCACCAGGGATGCGTGCAAGTCTCACCAGGGATACATGCAGATCTCAGCAGGGATGCGTGCAGGTCTCACCAGTTGTGCGTTTGGGTCTCACTAGGGCTGCGTTTGGGTCTCACTAGGGATGCATGCGGGTCTCAGCAGGGATGCGTGCGGATCTCAGCAGGGATGCGTGCGGATCTCAGCAGAGATGCGTGCAGATCTCAGCAGAGATGCATGCAGGTCTCACAAGGAATGCATGCAAGTCTCACCAGGGCTGCACATGGGTCTCTCCAGGGCTCTGTGGGTGGGTGCCAGGCTCTCCAGGGCTCTGCATGCGGTTGCTGGGCTCTCTAGGGCTGAACAGGTGAAATATGGGCTTGTGCTGGGCTCCAGGGCTGTGCTGGTGGGTGTGGGGCTGTCCTGTGCTGTGCAGGGGCTGGGAAAGGAGGAGGAGACAATGTGCAGCCGGACCGGCACTATCAAAGACAGCTGCCAGAGATCCCCAGCAAGCTCAGGACCTCAGGCAGCCGAACGTCCTAAAAAATGTAAAGGGGCTGGGCTACCCCTCTACTCCCTGCTGCCCCAAGGCCATGGCCTCGGTGGCCTTGTTGGGATTCCACCCCTGGACGCAGCCTAAGTCTGCATGTGGAGAGAGGAGCCAAGGAGTCTAGGGAGGATGAGAGCAAGCTCTTGAAGACAGAAGTAGCCAGGTAAGGGCAGGACAGGGGTGATATTTTGTCATAAAGATAGTCAGTATCAGGGAAGAGAAGGGTTAAAGTGGTGAAGGTTTCTCCGGGTAACAGTTAGCAGATTAGGGGGATTCAGGGTTGGGAACAGGGAGATCATGAAACTGACAAGGTTGTGGTCTGAGAGGGGAAAAGGGGAGTTGGAGAGGTTGCAAGAAGTGCATAGGTGAGAGAACACAAGATTTAGAATGTTACCATCAGATTGAGAAGGAGTGTGTGTCCATTGTGTTAGGTCAAAAGAAGAGGTTAGTTTGAAAAGTTGAGTGGTAGCCAGGGTGTTAATGTTAGTAGCAATGTTAAAGTCACACAAACAATAACACCATTATTATTTATATATATACTGTATATCATTCATAATAATGTATGAATGATATACACAGTGTCGGCGCGGGGGGGGGGCGTATTGTGGAACCTGGCCTTGGGGCGGCAGGGGGAGTAAATCTGGCCCTGGATATACAGTATATTTAATGTAGACACAATAATTAGTTACCACACTTCTCGATAGGGTAATCACTGGCCATTTGAAATGTTCTAGTATCATCAGGGGAATACGCTTTCCTTTTTGTAACACTGTTATAAGTCAGATAATGATTTCCAGCTACATATATTATTTATAAACTGACACCATATAACTGTAGTAATCAGTAAAACTATGCTCATATTTTTTTCTTCAGAATTCAAACACCTCTTTAACCCTTTCGCTGCCAGAAGTGTTTTTGCACATATGTTAAAATGTACACTTTAGGCCTAAAGATTAATTCAAGATTAAGGTCAAGTTTCAGGGACAGTAAGACATAGGAAACAATAAAACATGTACAGAGTTTCCGGTCTTTACAAACTTTGCTTAACAAGTGCCTTGTTGCTGTCTCTTGCTCCACTGGATGGATTTATCTTTACTATTTGTCCCCCTGACACCTTTTCCCTGGGAAAGGAAAGGAAAAGTAATCTGTCAAATAGGGACACCAGAAACAATAAAAGCACTGTATAGGTCCTAACACTTCTTCACTAGATCTAAAAAGATTTTTTTAAATGCTATTGAGTTTTTGCTTTATTTGTTCTTTTGAGCTCTTATATTTCGGTGTACAGATCCGGTAGACTAAGATTCAGCAACTCTTCAGAAGATAATACTCCTACACAACATTGTTCAGCTCTCCTGTCATGCAATTTTCTCATTATACATTGCTGCTATTTTTCATGTGAAATTCAAATGAAAAATGAGATTTGCTGCTGGCAATTATATAGATTAAATGAACGGCAGTACCTATATTATTAAATCAAAAAACTAGATATAAATAACATAAAATACATATAAATGTCTTGGGGACTTTGATGTAATTAATGTGGCAAATCATTGGAAAGCAGATGTGTGACTTGCTGCCATATTAAATCATTTATTTCCAAGAAATGATGACTCAAATTACAGTGTACAAACGTATTATCAGAGATTTAATCCTAGAAGATACATTATTGTATACCAGCTAAGTGTCACATGATCATATACCAGCTATTACATACCATCTTAGTATACCATGCAATACCATCTCAGTGTCACATTAGTATATACCATCTCAGTGTCACATTATTATATACCATCTCAGTGTCACATTATTATATACCATCTCAGTGTCACATTATTATATACCATCTCAGTGTCACATTATTATATATCATCTCAGTGTCACATTATTATATACCATCTCACTATCACATTATTATATACCATCTCAGTGTCACATTATTATATACCATCTCAGTGTCACATTATTATATACCATCTCACTATCACATTATTATATACCATCTCAGTGTCACATTATTATATACCATCTCACTATCACATTAGTATATACCATCTCACTATCACATTATTATATACCATCTCAGAGTCACATTATTACATACCATCTCAGTGTCACATTATTATATACCATCTCACTATCACATTATTATATACCATCTCAGTGTCACATTATTATATACCATCTTAGTGTCACAATATTATATGCCATCATAGTGTCACATTATTATATACCAGCTTAGTATCATGTTATCATATACCATCTCACAATGCCACCTTATTATACCAGGTCACAAAAGCAGAATAATATTTTCCAGCTCACAATGTCACATAATTATATACCAGCTCACAATACCACACCATTATATACCAGCTCAGTGCCACATTATCATATATTAGGTCATAATACCACATTATTTAACACAAGCTTAGTGCCACATTTTTATATACAAACTCACTACAGCACATTATTATATACAAGCTTGGTGCAGTTAGTGTTATTTTACTATTTCATGGAGCAATAGATTTGCTTTAAAGTTGTAGCTGATGTGCAGAGATGATGAGAATGTATTACTAAGAAGAGTTATAGGTGATTTGACATTTAACAGCTAAAAAAAAATCTTCAAAAACTTCCCAGAAACTCTAAATCAGTTTTAGGAGGGTATTTGTGAGTTCAAACAACCACCAGCTTTTTTATCTTACCAGTGGGATAATTTCATTCAACTACTACCCAAATACAAACACATTATTTCTCTGAAATCTCGTGTGGTTCATAATAAGGGACTGGGGTCAGACAGTGAATGTCCATTTCATTTCTATTCTAAATGGGATTAGGAATGAATAGGAGAAACACTCTGAATGTTTCAGAGACAGTCAGCCCTAGGTCTCTTTAAATAGGAGTCTTGGAGCTAGTCTTGGTAGTGTGCTCCCACAAGACACAAGGCTTGCTCACATTAAAGGGACAAGTGACATTAAGATCACAGCCCCCACCCCCCTCCACTTGCTGCTTTAAAGACTTACCTTAAATGATGCCTCTTGATCTGATCATCTTCTTCTTTGCAGTAGTTTTCAGGAGTCCCTCAAGCGCTGTTGCCGGTCTCTGATGCAGTGCCGACTGCTGTGTCTTCTGTATCCGACGATGTCTGTCCACCTGCACACTCATGGCTGCGTGCATCGACTTGCACTGTGTCTCTTCTCCCCGCCGAAGATCTTTACTGCACATGCGCCCGTCCCATGATCCTTCACAGCCGGTTGGGAATCTGAGCGAGCGGCGGCGACACAGGTAAGTAACTACCTTTTTGATAACTTTTTTATTTCTTTTATGTTTTGGCATACGTCTACTGATTTCTAGTAGTAGATATATGAAAAAAATAGACTTTAAGATACGCACCCAGCAAAAACATTATGCGTAGGCTTTGTACCAGAACACACTCATGTGCTCACACCATTCCCATGCACATTGGCCACCAGGATCTTCCTGACAGAAGCATTATTTAATACTCTATATAAGAGTACAACACAAACGTGGCCTAAATTTACTAATCGTAAAGTGATATGAAGTGCGCCTCTAAGAATTTCACAAATTCCAGTCATAAGCAGAGGAATTGGGAAAAAAAAGCTTCTTCTTCAATTGATGATTCATTGTGAAAGGGCCTTGAGGAGTCAGTAGTGCAACAGTGCTATATAACATGACTGGTTGACACACTGCTGCCACTACCATTCCCAGGCTTATTTGTGGGTGTGCAAGGAACAATGGGGGGATAATACAAACATTTATTTATATTACATTTATATAACTACTTAACAAAGATATATATATACATATATATATATATATATTTACACACAGTATCTCACAGAGGTGAGTACACCACTCACATTTTTGTAAATATTTTATTATATCATTTCACATTATATCATTTCATGTGACGACACAGAAGAAATTACAAAGTAGTGAGTGTACAGCTTGTACAGTATATCAGTGTACATTTGCTGTCCCCTCAAAATAACTCAACACACATTCATTAATGTCTTAACCGCTGGCAACAAAAGTACAAAAGTACACCCCTAAGTGAAAAGGTCCCAATTGGGCCCAAAGTATCAATATTTTGTGTGGCCACCATTATTTTCCAGCACTGCCTTAACCCTCTTGGGCATGGAGTTCACCAGAGCTTCACAGGTTGCTACTGGAGTCCTCTTCCACTCCTCCATGACGACATCACAGAGCTGGTGGATGTTAGTGATCTTGCGCTCCTCCACCTTTAATAAAGGGGCACCTAGATCTGCCCCCCCCCCTTTGTGACTGAGTAAGGGGTACTTGTACCTCTACCCATTCACTAAAGGGTTAAATAAAATTGTAAAAAAGAGGTCAGACTATTGAAAAAATCCTTAATTTGAAAAAAAAAAACCAGAAGAAAAGTTTTTGACAAGTCTTTTAAAAAAAATAAAATAAATGGAACCAACAACGTAATCCAGGTTCAATAACGACATCCATCGTTGTCCATGACGACGATGTCTCGACGAAATAAAACAATAAAAAAGAAATAGAAATAATTGAAAAAGATGACCACCGTCCCATCTGCGACGAACACCTGCCACAAAATGGCATTTTGACAGATGCCGGCAACATATAAACAATTGGGCGAAGCTAGCAGTGACAGCTAGCTCCGCCCCAACTGTTCACAGTTGTACGGCATGAGGGCAAAACATTTACATGATAGGGTTAAAAAACAAACGAGTCAAACATTTATTGTATCCTCGTTTCTGCTTGTTAGAGCCACCAAAGCTTCTTTTTGTGGCTCTGAGGAAGGGGGCAAGCCCCGAAAATGCGTCAGCCCACAGCTAAGACAGCCGGCACCGATGCCTGTGATACGTGTTGACATGGTGGTCACCCGACCCTGGTGGTCTGGATTGGTCCTAGTTTTACTGTGCTTGAATTACAGGCGTTCTTATTAGAAGTTTTGAGAGTACATTTATTTCGTTTTTATATTTTCATCTTAATAAAGTGTATTTCACAAGGAAAGGGGGCTCTTTGCTGTGTTCTGATTTTGCATGATTGTGAGAATCCCCGATCTATGAGGAGCAGCACTCCTTGTGAAGATTTCTAAGTTCAGTGAAGATCACATGGAGTTGACACCAGTACCTAGAGAAAATATTGTATCTATTTACATGAAAGGGTAAAAAAAAACATACGAGTCAGACATTTATTGTATTCTCTTTTCTGCTTGTAAGAGCCACCAAAGCTTCTTTTTGGGGTGCATTAATATTCTAGATTCAGTTTGCAGAGGACACTGTACAAGGTTAATTGCTATAGATACTGTGTGGGTGCTAAGAAAAAGTTTGCCCCTCTGGAAGTCAATTGCCGTTTTCTGTGAAATTTGTACGCCTGGAATTATTTATTCCCTTTCTTTAGTAAAATATGTTAGCTTAATGATTGCCTTTGTAAGTAGTATGCGTTGTATGCCACCATGAGTGATTACTGCATTTATAATCCTTTAGTCTTGGTGAGCTGCATTTTAGCTATAAGCAATTCGGCAAATGGCCTGGCTGGCTCATGCAGAGCAGTTAGAAGTATTTTGCAGTATTGCTTTTTCATAAATTAAAATGATACATTAGGTAGTCCACATATACATTTTTAGAAACAGACATTTATAGTAGGGCTGTTACTGATTAAAATTTTCGTGTTCGATTAATCGAAAAGAAATGTAAGCGATTAATCAATTATAATGCACATACAGATCCAACTACATTGGCCTATAAACATACAGCACAGCAATGAAGTAATAAAATGAACTAGGATCACAGTAATCCAACACGTTATTAATCTCAGGTGCCCCACTCAATATGGTCGCCGCTTGAGTGGGGCAACTCAGAACAGAATAATAACGTGCTGGATTAGTGTGATCCTAGTTCATTTTATTACTTCATTGCTATGCTGTATGTGTATAGGCCAATGACTTGGCTGGCGTTCATGCAGAAAGTTCCTTGGGCAAACTCACCGGCCCAAGTGGCTCCGTCGGCTAACGAAGGGAAGGGGGGAGGAGTCCGGTGACATCACAGACATCAACGTCACCGGACTCCTCCGCCTTCCCTTCGTTAGCCGACGGAGCCACTTGGGCCAGCTGCACTTGTGTGCCACTCAGTGCCACTCGTGATCGTGAGGACTACCCACTGGGGAAATTTTGAAGAGCAAGAGGACATCGCTTATGTCATGACTGGCCTGAAGACACAAGGAAAAGATAACTATAAAAAAAGCAAAATACACACGGACATCGACGTCACCGGACTCCTCCCCCCTTCCCTTCGTTAGCCGTCACGGACATCGACCTCACCGGATCTCCGACGGAACTCCCGGAAGACCCGGAAGCCAGCGGAGAGGTGAGTACCAATCAAAAGAATTTTAATCGATCAAAGAAATTAACGATTAATCGAGGAATTAATCGTTAATTTCCGCAGCCCTAATTTATAGCTGGATTAGCTAGTCAATAAATAGTTTTTTTCCTACAAATACAGTGGAAAATATATGAAGATATCTATATCAATTTTTGAATCCGAACTCTAGGCACATACAGTATACAAGACCACTCTTTACTCATAAACATGGGGCTTTAAAGGCATCAGATTACGTTGTAATATATACGTTGGCATATATTTCTTAAAAACATTCCATTTATTAAATCCACAAAACAGATTAACACGTCACATAGAGTTAAAAACAATAGTTGTGCTTGGCTTTACACCACCCCATAATATTGGGGTACTGTTCTGCCTCCCCAGTCTAAGCATTGAAAGTGTGGTCTCTGTATCTAACAGCTGTGGCGTGATGGCAGTAACTCACAATCTCAGTGAGGTGGCAGACACTTGACTTAATTCATATGACACCTTGAAGATCGTTAAGAAAGTTAATTAAAACTGTGCAGATCTTTACAATAGGAAACACAGGATAGGTCAAAAGATTATAATGTGATCCACTCAGCAAAGGACATGGATGAGATGCAGACTGGAACATAATGAAGAAGGAAGCAATCTACACAAAGGAAAACTGAAATATGGGGAGGCGTGAAGACAAATACCAGAAACAGAAAAATGCAAATGATATTTAAAGGGTTATCACAATGCAAGTGTAACATGACAGGTACCTCCTTAGGCCACTACTGTGTACCATACTTTGTACAACCATCAGTTATCAAGAGAAACAGTTTCTTTCACAAGTCTTTATTTTTATCAAGCGGTGAGTTGCAGTGGCCCAGTTCAACATACTTCACACTTTGCTTTCTCAGGAAAGGAAGTACTCTGTGACATCATATAAACAATAAATATAAATTCCAAAAATAGTTATAAATGTACAGTTATGTCATATACTTTATACATTTTCTCCGCAGGACTTGAAGCAGAATGATACACTGCATTTGGGACTTTAAGCTAAATGAACTGGGTCATTGCAACTCACGGCTTGATGAAAATAAAGGTTTTCTATTGATAACTGATGGTTGTACAAAGTATAGTAGTATAGCCTAAGGTGCTACCCCTAAATTATGGGGAGATATAAAGCCAAGCACAACTATTATTTTTAAGCCTTCATTCACACTTACCCAGTGCCAACATGCGATTTCCTGCAGCTGGAATTCTAAATCTTCCGTTAACAAGTGGCAGCTGTCACCTGTTCATGTTAATGATAGGGTGACAGCGGCTGCATTTGAAAGCAGCAGAACGCTGACACACCACATGTAATTATATGTAGTATGATTACACGAAGTTAGGAATCAATCACTGTCCCTGGATGCATTGATCGAATGGGATGGAGTCCTTTTAAGGAGTATATGTCTTATAATTTGACGCCTCTAAAACCCCATGTTTATAGGTTAAAAAAAAGCGGTACAATTACAAAGGGGTGTAGTGTCTGGATCACCCATCAGCCCAATATGAATTTTTTGTTGTTCAGAAAAAAACGAATTCATTCAGGCATCCATTGATTAATATACAGTATAGTTTAATTCATTTTTAAAGGAGAACTATGGGGTCAGTGTTTTTCCCCATAGTTCTCCTTAGGGTAATGGGAGGACACAAACTAGCATCCTCCCATTACCCTAAGCTCAGTATACCGCGAGCTGTAGCGGATCCCGATATACTGAGACGCCGCAGCCGGAGCGGATCCCGATATCGATGTCAAGATCCGCCCAGCTGCGTGAGTGACAGCTGGCTCTGCCTATCTAGAGGCAGAGCCAGCTGTACCCGCCCCCTAACCCGTCAGCGCTGGCAGATCGGAGCGGGGAGAGGGGAATCCAGCCCTCCCCTGTCATGGCAGAGAGCCGTGACAGGATCGAGAGGTGAGCGAACCCGGTATGTGTTCGCTCTCCTCCCGATCTACTGAGCCGACCTGTGACAGTCTCATTGTCACAGGTCGGCTAGAACTATGAGGTGAGTGGAAATCACTCATCTCATAGTTCTCCTTTAAAACCATAGGTAGAATTACCTGAATTTAATTATAAATTAGTGCTGCAGCATGATTTCTATGTTGTGCAGCCTGAAATTACCTTAATCCTTATGCTACACCTAATCACCATATATACATTTTTTCTCCTCTGGTATAAAATATACATTTACATATCAGTTGTTATTTTTTAGATAGGCGATGGACCTGAGATATTCCTCTACACGTTTGACGGGTATATATTCCACTTCTTTGGGAGCATGATTCAAGGTATTTTATAACAAACATATACAGTGGTACCTCGGGTCACAAACTTAATTTGTTCCACAATTCTGGTCGCTAACCGAATTGGTCGCGAACCGAATCAAATTTCCCCATAAGGTTCAATGTAAATAAGGTTAATCCGTTCTGACCCCTAAGAGCGTGGTCGCGAACCAATTTTGGTCGCGAACAGAATCAGATTTTCCCATAAGGTTCAATGTAAATAAGGTTAATCCATTCTGATCCCTACAAGCGTGATTGCCAACCAAATCAAATTTTCCCATAAGATTCAATGTAAATGAGGTTAATACGTTCTGAGCCATATGTAAAAAAAATTTAACCACTAAAATATGAAACAAAGTACAGTACAGTATGAAGAGAGTGAACACTAACCTTTCTTGAGGCGACTTCTGGCGTGGAGGACGCTCTGCACGTTCTTGTCACCTTCATTACCGCTCTGCACTTTCTTTTTACCACCATTCTTGCTCTGCACTTTCTCTGGAGCCATGCTGGATTGAATAACACTGTACAGTACTGTATGTGCTAAAAACACACACAAAAAAGCTTCACAGCAAGTGTGCACAAGTCTGCCTGCGACCGCGATCTTGACTAGAGGAAGCCACGACCACATGTCAGAGCGGGGAAGATGGCCGCGGTGGTGTTCATCAGCCGCTGTGGAGTTTTCGGATGAAAGGAAAATTTAGCCAAACTTTCTGTTCGCAAACTGAATTGTTCGTGAACCAAGTTATTACTGTATTTCTGTATTTTACATCTGACATTAAATATGATTGGGATGACAAAACCCCAAAACATGCCCCTTTAAAAACAAGTCTGCAGTGGCAGTTCCCTTATTTCCATCCTCACAGGCTGCCTAAAAAGCAGCTCTGTTGCTGTGTTGTCTGAACATAGACAATGACATATAATGAAGAATTACTTATCAGTTACTAATGAAGCCACCAGTATGTTAGGACTTCATTGTATTCCATTAGTGTGTATTGAAAGTTAAAAATAGTCGTGTCATTTCACCAAATGATTTCAGGTTCCACTTAAAAACAATCCCCGTTTGCTAATTCACATAAAGCATTTTGGATCCTAGTTGAAATGAAATCTCTAGGCAGAGCACAGAAATCCAGATGGCTTTTTAAAAAAATAAATAAATATTTCACCCTGGGAAAAGTAAACATCTGCGAAAACCCACTACTACACCTTCATGTTTGTTTTCATATTTCAGCCGTGAAGTGTAATAAATCAGCCCATTGTGCTGGCCAATGAAATGTGGCACCTCCAACGAAGCATAATATACAAATGGATACATTTTAATGTCCCTAATTATGGCACACTTATTTCTTCCAACCTTTCAATGCCCATTCAATTGTTTTTTTTTCTTTTACTGCTGGATTATTCATACTGCAGTACAAACAGCATGATAAAGAAAACAGTTAATTTATGTTTGACACTTAATAACAAGTATAGTACAAATGGAAGGACTGTCTATATAATGAGGCAGCTTGAGGCAGGTTTTTTTAGACCAGGGGGGGGGGGGGGGCTGCTGTGGCCTTTCTAGCCAGAGCGTCCCAGGTTGCTAAGAGCTCTTAGCAACCTGGGACACTTTGTCCGGCATACTGCTCAGCTCACTGATGTCACTGTTTGCCAGGCGCTGAGCGGGGCGCTTTGACTGGCCCAGCTTCCGGTAACCTGCAGCTGCGGACCGGGAAAATGTCTCAGTACCTGTGATTGGCGCTGCTGAGCTGTCAGCTTCTTGGCGGGTTTGGCATGTGGAGCTGCGACCACGCCCGAGCCCTTCACTAATGGTCATCACTTGGGAGTTTGTATAGAAACAATCCTGCTGGCTTCAGCTGTCAGTGTGCAAGGTACTGGAAGAGGCACTTTAAGAGCTGAAGGCAGCAAGCTCTCATTGGTTTATTTGGTTTCCATGTATTATGTTGCCCCTGGTCACGTCTTGGCATGGTATCCTGTTTTCTTCCTTGTCTGCTGTTGTCTGCCATCTCAGTGGTCCACAAAACCCCATACCTGCCACCAGGGACTCTGGCAAGCCTGCACCTACAAGATAGTCTAGTGCTACCTATAGGCAAAACAGACTTTCTTGGCTAGATCCCCTGGCTCTGACAGCTGGCTTGGTTGTTTTGTGGGCTCTAGATTCCATAGTTTCAGCCCTATTCCTTTCACTGTTTTCTGTATTCAGCCATGTTGGTCCTGAACCCTCTAACCGTTATGATCAGCTGTTAGAATGTGTATATGCAATTAGCAGACTCAAATATTGCCTCCATTATCAACTTAATGCAGTTTGATGTTTGTTTCCACTCAGCAGTCATTACAGAGATGGCGAGTTTTCACAGTACAAGTATTTATAACACATTCTGCATGTTCAGCAGAGAGAGGTGACAAGTAAAGAAGCCCACGGGAGCTCTAAAGCAGTTTATTGTAAAAATAACTGATTAATGCGGATAATGGATGGACTTCATTAATTTAACACTCAGGTGCTCAGTACTGATAAAACAGATCTTCAGACAGAGAGCTTGTGTAGGTGGTAATCAATGAGGGTGAATGGTGACATCATCTGCCTCCCACATTAATCTGAAGTGTGACTGTGACTACTCTTGATGGATGTATTGTTTTCCTTTAAGATGCGCAGTCAATAGGGCGCACACCTGGCCTCAGCTTTTTCTCATTCCAGCAAAAGTTCTTTAGCGTTGCATTGATTATCTTCAGTAGATGATCTGCTGTCTTCAATGACTCCATTTCTGGTTTCCACTCAATTGCTTGATCTGCTCTCATTACCTTGTATTATGATGGCACCTTTACCACCTGCTCCCTGAATGTGTCTGTAATGAAGCCTGGCTTGATCAAATTGTTCATCCATGGGGATCCTGCTTGACACAACTTCCATTTCACTGAGCGATGTGACGGATGCTTTTTCCTGGTCTGATATGTAATGTGCCATGCTGCATTTAACTTCTGCTTCATATTCTTGCTGACATGTAAAGGACATTTTGTATCTTACCATAAATAGCTACTTAATCTAAATCAAAAGTTGTCTTACTTCTAGGGCCCGTTCACATTATGGGGCTGATTTATTAAACCGTTCGCACAGCTCTTCACTGTGTGAATGAGATTCGCAGCACAGTCTGGCCACTCGATAGAGCCGTGGAGCATGGGAAATTCCAATGGCGGCATCTACTGGCCATTCAGTGGTGCGAATTTTGTTTGCACAGCAAAGAGCTGTGTGAATGGTTCAAAACCAGCCCCTTGCGGCCTGTGTATAGCTCGACATGCAGCTAAACCCTTCTATTCTACAATAAGCCAGACTAGGTGAAATCTTGATGCTTTATTAACAAAACAGGGTAGGGTGAAACTGGTAAAAGAACATTGAAACATACAATCAGTATATAAAACATGTAAATATAGTGTCAGCTCACAAATACAGAAAGAAACCAGTCCATTCATGCCAGCAATATTGCCTAAGAAGGATCCAGACATATGCTGCTGATGGCAGTGGATTCTGGAGCAAGAAAAAATACCGGCGCCTTCAATTTCAAGGTGACCAGCAGCTTAATAAGGCAAACATGAAAGAGGCAGCTCCCACAGGTCAAATAGACCGCCAATCTAGGAAACAAAGAACGAAAAAGGGTGCCTCCATAGTGTAAAAATGTAATTTAATAATAAAACACGGAGCTCTAGGCTGTACTTACAGAAATTCAATGGAATATAAGCATATAGAATTCGATGGGAAATCGGAACCTCTAGCAGGGAGAGTCTGTAAAGATGTAATTCACCAGCGTCCTCTGCCCCTATGATTTCAACAGGTGTACGTGTTTCTGGGGCATGCCCTCTTCATCAGAACCTATGAAACACTCCCATGTATTCTGCTCTTAAATCTCAGCACGGTAGATCACGTGGAACTTTTAAACCAATCACCTGTCGCCAGATCATTGCTGAAGGCTCGTCCAGAGAGGACAGCTGATAATAGTTATTTAATTAGTCGTCAGCTCAGTCTAAGTTGAGTAACTCCCATCACCATTTTTATTGCTGCGTCTGTCTTGCCTGGGTGATAATGTTGTCCCTGAAATAGGAAGTGAGGAGAAATGTCCCTAGCAAGTGTAGTAATTGATCCACCGCTCTCCAGACTGAAATCCCATAGAACAAGTGGGTGCTGGCTTGACCTGCGTATGACACCGTACAAATCACAGGAATATTGAAAGTCACTCTCACTTTTCTTTTTTTAAATCGACCCAGTCTCCCTACCTTATGAGAATTGGAGTGGATCCTCAGCCTGGGGTCCAGTGCGAGCTTCGGTGCTGTGATGGAGCTCCATCAATTTGTGCATTTACTTGTAAAGCTCCCGTGCATGCCCTGTAGAGGTGTTGGGAGCCAGAATGTTACATCACTCTGGTCCAGGCACCTCTACAGGACATGTGATGGAGCTGTAAGCAATGCACTTATGGATGGAGCTCCCTCGCGGTCAAAGTCCTAACCCACGCCACCCCACCTCAAGCTGACACTCGGCACCAGAGGCAGCGTAATTTGGATGGCTGCTTGGCAAGAGAACTGACAGTGCTTTGCTAGGGGGAGGCAGAGGAGCCTCTCACCTAGAAAAGTGGAAGGCACCTGGGGACCCACTGAACACAGGGGCCCCAACTTTTGGGTCACAACTCACCAGTTGAGAACCAGGGATATACAGTATACACTGAGTGGCCGGATTATTATGACCACCTGACGTTTGTAGGCAAATTAGCTATAATTTCGCGCTGAAGGTGCTAGGGGGCCAGCCCATTATAAATAGGGAAGCAGGTGGTTTACCACGACAGTAGAAGTGATTTTTTTCGGCAGATATAGGTAAACAACGCGATTTAACAGCCTTTGAACGTGGGATGATTGTTGGCTCTCGGAGCCATGGAGCGAGTATCAGCAAAAAAGCAGAATTCGTTAAATGTTCAAGAACAGCTGTTGTTAAAGTGTTTAGAGACTGGATTGTCAGCTGAAAATCTGTGTCTGAACGTGTGAATTGTGGCCGTCAGCGACTAGTCAATGTTAGGGCAGAACGGAGAGTGGCAAGACTGGTACAAAACAACAGTGCAGTGTCAGATTCCTCGCATCACCTTTCAACATCTCGTGGAGTCATGAGGTGGCCCAACGAAGTCCTCTCATCGAGTCCTCTCGTGGCCCAACGAAGTACTGATGGGGTGGTCATAATAATCTGGCCACTCAGTGTATATAATATATAGATAATGCGTGGTGTGAATGAGCAACAGGTGGAACATTTAGCTTTGCAGATGGTGGTAACTAGAGTTCATGTGGAACATTAAGGCCTTATAGGTCGAGGTAAAAAGAGTTCAGAGACAGAGGGAGTCTTATCAAGACAGGAAAAAGTACAGGGTGACACTATTTAATTTGATTTTTGGAGGTAATTCAAGGTAACACACATGATCATTATGTTCAAAACCCAATAAAAAGGAGCCTGCAAGCCCATATTTTTTGAACATACCTTAACTGCTGAATGTTCCCAGCTGGCCAGATAAATTAACCTACTTCTTGAAGCTGTCCTATCTGAGTGGTT